AGTCAGTCAGGGAAGATCGGATTGTTTGATGCTTGACATCAAATTATTCTCTGAATTCTGGCGCAGTTTTTGATGCCCTCAAAAATGTTTTTACTCATTCACCTTCTGATCTATTGGACCTCAAAGCCAAACAACAAATTTAGGCACATTTTTCGTTTTTAATATTTACTGATTTTTCCAAAATTTTGATAGGAATGTGCTAGTGACTTTTTGAAGGGTGCAAAATAACCGCAACTAGCACATTTATATACAGGGTGGGCCAAAAGTCAGTACCCATACGTTGGCCTTAATAGCTCCGCTGTGTTTTATATCTGAGAGCTGTTGCTTTGCAGATGGCATACTGTACTTACTGGTTCGAGGATTCCGTCGTCAAAATTTAAAAATTCGAATATTTTAGACCACGCCCATTCAATATTAAAACACTTATATTGTTTTCTCTGAACATGCTGAACGCCTAATTTTTTCAGAGACGGTAGATTATCAAATGTTGCATATGATCTAACAACATGAGGGAAAACGGATTAGAAATGACGAAGTTATCAAGCATTTTCTGTATCTCGTTAACAATATTGACTGGGTGATTATGTGACACCGTGACACGACACCTTAATTGGGCACTCTTAACAATTCCCATAATGTTTAACGGGGTAGTTAACGGGGGCACCTTATCACGTGATTAGGTAAACCAATCACCTGATCACACGTAATGAATAAACTCGTTATGCTTCATATCTCGGTCATCTGAGAAGGTACAGTTCTAATTCTTTCAGGACAAACGTAATTCGAATGGCCAAACACAATTCAATAACATTTAGCTTGATCCGACTATCCAAATTATCAAATAAATGTGAAAATGAACCTCCATTTGAAAAAAATGAACGCGAATATTTTTCGAGTTGACAAATTCCTCGAACCAGTGGTGGTACTAAGTCATACCAGAAAGAAGTATTTAAATTGGGCACTCAGTGACTGAGCTATAAAGGCCAACGTATGGGTACTGACTTTTGGCCCACCCTGTATGAGTTATGAACAAAAAAACACCCTTAAATGCTTCCCTTTGAAGTTATGGGAAAAAATGTGATTTTTTATCTGCAAAGCCAAAAAATCACATTTTTTCCCATAACTTCAAAGGGAAGCATTTTAGGGTGTTTTGTTGTTCATAACTCATAAATAAATGTGCTAGTTGCGGTTATTTTGCACCCTTCAAAAAGTCACTAGCACATTCCTATCAAAATTTTGGAAAAATCAGTAAATATTAAAAACGAAAAATGTGCCTAAATTTGTTGTTTGGCTTTGAGGTCCAATAGATCAGAAGGTGAATGAGTAAAAAAATTTTTGAGGGCATCAAAAACTGCGCCAGAATTCAGAGAACAATTTGATGTCAAGCATCAAATAATCCGATCTTCCCTGACTGACTTTTTGTTAAAATAAGCCTGAAAAGGACAATTTTAGCTTTTTGACTTTAAAAATTCATAACACAACAGCCTTTTTAGATACGATATCAAGATTTTACACACACCTTGAAATAGATGTGAATAAACGGCGAGCAAAATTTCAACCCGATACCGCAAGAAATGATAACCTTATAGCGTCTCAACCACAAAATAATTTTTTCCGAAAATTGCACTCTTAACCAGGAAATGGTCGATTACAAAAATGGGTATTCTCAAAATAATTTTTTTTGGTGTGGAAACGGTGCGCTAGAAGGTCACTGAACTGCCTATGAGGTCATTTGGTCTGGACAAATTTGGTGTTTGCCCCCTTAAGTGGGGTAAGGCATCGTCATGTCAATGTTTGCAGTTTTCCAGAGTCTAAAGTCTAAAGTGGTCTTGAAACTTTATGTCTAGTGGTCAAGTTGTATATGTCTAGTGGTCAACTTTATGTCTAGTGGTCAAGTTTTTGGCTAACAATGTTACGTCAGCAGACGACTAGACGATTGGGTTAAGAAATGCTATTGAAAGTGGATTCCTGTAAAACAATCGTTTTCCACAGTTCATGCTACCCTGATCATTATATCATATATATTATGTGAACATATTTTCTCGGTTTACTTTACTGAAGTCCGTACCTAGTAATAGTACCTACCTCTCGATATACGATTTGGGATTCGAGGCTTCCCTTTTGTTACTTGTAATGCGATCTCGGAATGCAGGCGGGAGCTCTGTCATTAGAGGTACGTATCGAGAATTACTCGGACCGAAAATTTTCTCAGTCAAAATTTTTCAAAGTTTTTCTGGAAACTTTTTTTCATGTTCATGTTTCATGCTACCCTGATCATTATGAGCTTCTGAAGTCCGTACATACATTCGGAAGGCTGTGAATGTGATTAGTTCCATATAATACTTAAAAAGAACGTGATATTTGGCACTCAGATTTAAAGGAGAATGCGCAAATTTGGTTCTCAGATTTAAAAGAAAATGCGCAATTTGTCGCGGAGAACTGAAATAGTCACGATTTGTCGCAAGGATCTGAGAAAATCGCGATTTGTCGCGGCAAACGTCAAAAATCGCGATTTGTCGCGGAGAATGGGAAAAATCACGATTCCGCACGTGCCGCGATTTCCTTTTTCCTTGATAGGGAAGCGTTATTGGGCTGTAAACCCAACTTAAATCGATTTCTCGTACAACGTTAGGTGAAGAACAGTCACCAAAATGAGTTGCTTACCTGCTGTGTTTTTTCGTACTCTGCTCTTCGCTCAAGTTGCAAAGCTGCAATAAACATATTGCAACGAACATTTCTATCTGCAAATTGTGTTAGTACCTGTTCAATCAGTTAAAGTGAGGATTGCCTCGATCTTTCGGTTTCAGCTTAACTCCCTAGGCCCTGGGTCCTGAGTAGAACCGAAGGATCAAAATATATGTTGCTTGTTGCTCGTATTAACTATAAAACGTCAATTTTGATGGATAAGGAAGTGTTAATAGGTCTGAAACTTAGTTAAATCGATTTTTCGTGCAATTATAGGTCAGAATCAGTCATCAAAATGAGTTAATAAGAGGGTCGATTTCTCGGTTATTTTTGAGCTTTCGTTCAGAAAATAATTCGGGACCTTCAAAAGTTCAAAGGCCAAAGGGGGTAACAAGAAGGAGTTATGTAAGCGTTCTATAATTCCAAAGTGGCATCACATCTTCAACCTGCTGAATAGAGGCGCCACTTAAAAGTAAACAAATATGTATCACCTCCCCACGGGAATCGATATCTATTAAGTTTAACCATGGTATTACACGTACCTACCTCAGTAACCATGTTATTACACGTACCTACCCCAGTACCTATAACCTACCCCAGTACCTACCCCAGTAACCATGGTATTACACGCACCTACCCCAGTAACCATGGTATTACACGTACCTACCCCAGTACCTACCCCAGTAACCATGGTATTACACGTACCTACCCCAGTAACCATGGTATTACACGTACCTACCCCAGTACCTACCTCAGTAACCATGGTATTACACGTACCTACCCGAGTACCTACCTCAGTAACCATGGTATTACACGTACCTACCCCAGTAACCATGGTATTACATGTACCTACCCCAGTACCTACCCCAGCAACCATGGTAACACGTACCTACCCCAGTACCTACCCCAGTAACCATGGTATTACACGTACCTACCCCAGTACCTACCCCAGTAACCATGGTATTACACGTACCTACCCCAGTAACCATGGTATTACACGTACCTACCCCAGTAACCATGGTATTACACGTACCTACCTCAGTAACCATGGTATTACACGTACCTACCCGAGTAACCATGGTATTACACGTACCTACCCGAGTACCTACCTCAGTAACCATGGTATTACACGTACCTACCCGAGTACCTACCTCAGTAACCATGGTATTACACGTACCTACCCCAGTAACCATGGTATTACAAGTACCTACCCCAGTACCTACCCCAGTAACCATGGTATTACACGTACCTACCCCAGTACCTACCCCAGTAACCATGGTATTACACGTACCTACCCCAGTACCTACCTCAGTAACCATGGTATTACACGTACCTACCCCAGTAACCATGGTATTACACGTACCTACCCCAGTAACCATGGTATTACACGTACCTACCTCAGTAACCATGGTATTACACGCACCTACCCCAGTAACCATGGTATTACACGTACCTACCCGAGTACCTACCTCAGTAACCATGGTATTACACGTACCTACCCCAGTAACCATGGTATTACACGTACCTACCCCAGTACCTACCCCAGTGGCTAATAACCATGGTATTACACATACCTACCCCAGAACATACCATATTTCCACGTCATTAGACTCTGTTCGTATCTCTTATATGCTTTAAAACAAATCCCCCTCCAAATCTAAATGTACATATTTTGTTGAACTTTATTTCATGAGGTTAAGTGGGCATAATGTTCCCCCACGGCCCACACGTAGTATAGTACAGTTGTAACCATGGTGACACGTCGCAGTAGTAATATGATATTATACACAGTGTAATCCTTTGTTTATCTAATTGTGTACAAATATGACGGTTCACGATAGTTTAATTTGAATCATGTGTAATCCTGTTACAATGATAGCACGTTATTATTCTGTATATAATTGGTACACGTTACTATTATGTCAACTTTATCTCCAATGTCAAATAGGCTCGTTTATTTTAAAGTTTTATGCTACAGTAGGGGGGGGCCTAGTAAATGTAGAGTCACTGCAGGATGGTTCCTTTTGCAAGGTTCTAATTACTAGTTACTAGTTAATAGTTACTAGTTCTAGTTACTCCTGACAACGGCTAAATGTTCACAAAACACCTGTTTATATAAGGTTTCTGAGAAAATGTAACAATTCAGTAAAACGAGGCTTTACTATAATTAACAATCAACACTGTGCATCATGCCATCATGCCATCATTCCGTTTCCAAAATGTTATTTTGGTTATATTTTAAGTAGTTGTATTTAGATAACTGATATTACGTATTACACTACAGTAACCATATGCATAGTAAAACTGTATACTACAGGTATGGAATGATGGATAGTGATCATGATATCAAGACGGGATATACCTGTAGGACTGTTCACTATAGTAGTTACAGTTATAGTGCTGTGTGCTATTACTGCTTATAGGAACTGTTTTGATGGAACCCTCCAACCCTTCACTAATCAGGTACACAACCCTTTACTTTTTTTAAAAATCTCAACACTTATTTTACTTCGGACATTCCAACAGCCACATTGTTACACAAGTGTGTAACCAGCCAATAACAGGAAGCCGAAGGATTCAATTATACATTAGGCCAGTGACGGTTAAGGTAGTTTGTACCATATTTTCTTCGTCCGAGACTTAGCTGCAATGGGCAGCTCCTCGTTTAACCCTCACACCCGATTTCTCGAGTATTTGGCTGAGTGGACCGGGGGGCTGCATAGACCACTCAGGATCCTTAGCTGAGCGTCGACGACGCTCACCCCACGGCTAGTGACAGAGTCGGGAATCGAACCTGGTACCTCAAGCAATGCCAGGCAGATTAACCAACTGAGCCACTAAGCAGTAAGCCGTTTATTAACTAATCAGGTGCACAACCCTTCACTGATAAGGTACACAACCCTTTACTAATCAGGTACACAACTCTTCACTAATCAGGTACACAACTCTTCACTAATCAGGTACACAACCCTTCACTATTCATGTACACAACTCTTCACTAATCAGGTACACAACCCTTCACTAATCAGGTACACAACCCTTCACTAATCAGGTACACAACCTGTACTACAGGTGATTGCGTTCGTTATTGATTGCATGCAACTTAAAGTTTGTTGAATCGTCGTTTTATTTCGCTCCCCTCCCAGGTAGAGCAGTCTTGAAACTGGAGAAATCCAAATATAACATCACAATATATTATATATTTATAAAAGGTAGGTTATTGATTAATATTAGTACATTTGAATCTGGCTATCGTTTCTCGTAAATTGTGTTTACTAACAACAATTTTCAACGAACTTCATATTTTAGCTCCTTAAAAAGTTAAAACAAGAGTTACGATATAATACGCAGTAAGATGCAAGTTTTAAGCAAAGTACGTTATTTATATGGGCCTGAACACATGGCTGCTAATTGAGAGATTGAATCACCGGACTAACAGATGTGCGAGCTTAGCATTTCAAAATCAGGGCACTTACGTCTTACTAACAGGGATCCCAGAGATCTACACTAGTGTGTGTAACCTACAAATAATTACCTGTATGCAATCCTAGCCGCCGCCGCCCCCCCCCCCCCCCCCCCCCCCCCCCCCTTAGTGCACATTACTCCATGTTGCCACAGCCACTAAAGCAAGGTGTCTTACACAGTGACGTGTGTACTGTGTAATGAATAAAAAGGGGTATCCCGTATCATTTACTTTGTGTGGTACAAATTTTATACAATTATACTGATTAGATTAGGCAGTATACTTATATGTAGTAAGATTTACACATATCACACATACGTGTCGGTTTTTTTATAAAGAGAATTTTTTAAATTCAAATTTTCAAGGAAATCAGAGCTGAGATAGAAGTAAAAGACAGCACCCTGGAGCAGGCACTAAAAGATCACCAATCTTCTGAGAATGTGCCAGTTTCAAATTCAAAGACAAAACTTGTCATTATTGCTACGGAGAGCAGGTCAGTTACTGTTTTAATGTACCTTACTCGGGAATATTATGACTGGGATAAAGTGGTTGGTTTTGGAAAATTCCGCCATATTTTTCCCGGTCATTAATTTTCCCAGTCATAAATTAACCGGCTATAATGTTCCCGAGTAAGGTAAACTAATGGTAATACATTTTGATGCTTGGTGGGTTTTGGAACATTCCGCCATATTTTTCCCGGCCATTAATTTTCCCAGTCATAAATTAACCCGCTATAATATTCCTGAGTAAGGTAATCTCATAATACTACTACTAGGGGGGGGGGGGCCAACGCCCCAAAAGGCCCACACATATCGAAAATCCGAAAAGGGCCCTAGAAATCGGGGCTTTTTGGGGCCTTTTGGGGCCTTTTGACCCTTACCACTATTTGATAGTGTTTATGGACCATAATCTCCATGTTAATACACTCAAATAAACACAAAAGTACTGTGCAAGTAGTCAGATAATATCATTAAAGCACTTCGCATATATCAAACTTGATGAAATTGAAGTTAATTCTAGGGCCCCAAAAGGCCCTACACATATCGAAAATCCAAAAAGGCCCTAGAAATCGGGGCTTTTTGGGGCCTTTTGACCATGACCACTATTTGATAGTGTTTATGGACCATAATCTCCATGTAAATACACTCAAATAAACATGAAAGTACTGTGCAAGTAGTCAGATAATATCATTAAAGCACTTAGCATATATCAAACTTGATGAAATTGAAGTTAATTCTAGGGCCCCAAAAGGCCCTACACATATCGAAAATCCAAAAAGGGCCCTAGAAATCGGGGCCTTTTGGGGCGTTGCCCCCCCCCCCCCCCCCCTACTACTAGTAGTAGTACTGGGTGGCCCAGAAGTAACTGCCCACACGCAACCCTTTAATAACTAACATAATTCTTCTTACAATTGCACAGAAATTTCAGAGATTATAGATATGGGTCAAACTTAGATTTCCTGAAAGTTTCGTCAAATTTAATTAATTACAGTGGGTGTGGCACGCAAATCCCTCTTTTTCGCTAATGTCACCATAAAGTGAGAACACTTTCAGCTAGGGACTTCAAAGTTTCGAGACACATTTGGCTTGATATTTGGAGTGTTTTCCCAAAATTTCAAGTTGGTTGTTCACAATTTTACTGAGTTATGCCCCTTTTAAGATCTTGCAGATACTTGATCCAGAACTTAATTTTGGCCACCCTGTATTACTCATCTCATAATGAGTTTATATAGTTATATGTATGTTAATAAGTTTATGAAACACTACAATAATATGAATGTTAATAAAACCACCCCACACCCCCCCCCCCCCCCCCCCCCCCCAACACCATGAGGTTCCATTCTTTCCCTTCAGTGGCCTCTGCTTTGTATAACGCTGTGCCTCACGAAATCAAGTCTATCCCAACTTTGCCAAAATTCAAGGCAGCACCTGATCGCTTTCTTCATACCGTCCCCGACACCCCTCCTACCCCTGGAATCTGGATATACAGGGGCTAATGGCAATTCAATCTCGGAATGGGCTGTGAGCAAGACATGATAACGGAGACACCGGTGGTGGAGACGCAAGATGTCTGTCCCCCCCCCCCCCCCCACATAACAGTAAACCCCCCCCTAACAATAAACATCCTCCCCACTTAATAGTAAACTCCCTCTAACAGTAAACACCCCCCCCCCCCCCCCCCCGGCCGCCCCTCCCCCCATAACAGTAAACACCCCCTCCCCCCTTAACAGTAAACAACATTCCAGGTCCGGCTCCACCTGGCTGGGGACCATATTTCAGATGATACCTGATCTGATGTACGTGTTCGAGCCCCTAGATGCTCGACATGCTAGTGGCATGGGATATCCGCATGTGAGTGTTTATTATCACTTCGAGATGGCAGGGCCTACTTAAAATATTTCGCAGATTGGCAATTGATCGGTGTAGTTGGTGTTGTACACACTGCACTGATAATGATATCACGTTGAACGTGTAATGTAAATATAGTGTGGATATATGCGAATATATATTCTAAATAACTGAGTGTTTATTGTATGAACAATTATTTTGGGACAAATTATTATCGAAACATTATAATAATAAATTATTAATTTCACACATCTAATAATCAGAAATGAGATCAAAATTAATTTATAATTGTGGGAATGTCGTTTTAAAATAGAGTTAGCACTTGCAGTGGTTAAGTTGAGTTAAATAGGCCTAGGGTTTTAGCACAGAAGAGCTATTAATAACTATTACTTACTTCGACTTCGACTTAGGGCGGTTCAATGTCCGAGCAGATATGATTTTTCTCCAGATATTTCTATCCAGCATGAGCTTGTTAATCTCTCTGCTGTCGTGTCCCTCCGTATAGCATTCATCTACTGGGTGACAGTTTTAGAGCCATATAGATTATAGAAGAAATGGCAGGGACCGGGAAAAATTCAACAGTTGATAATGCACTTATTGAGTAATGTTGACTGTAATGTTGACTGTAATGTTGACTGTAATGTTGACACTAAATCTTTCAGGCACAGCACGATCCATTTGATAACAGGCAGCTGTCAGAAGACTCAAAGTTGAAAGTATTGTCTAGTCTGTGCACGTGCAAATTTCAGACAATACAAGCCTTTGGAAAGGCGCCAGTAACGGTGGAGCAGTCAAGTCATACAGAGTACAATCTCCACAAGGAGGTGCTCAGTAAGTACCATTAACTCTCATGATATTTTATTTTAAATAATAATCCCCAATTCAGTAATGATAATTTCAAACTTGAAGAAACTTCATAGAAAACCGAATTTGAGCTTCCCAGCCAATAATTAGATGTCCCAAAGAGTCTCCAAAAATCTGGATACTCTGGAGTCTAGAAATTTGATGATTATTGGGGAAATTGTATGAATGTCGCGCAAATGTCGCCCAAGGTTTATTCTCAGAATTGTAAATTTTGTCGCCCACATCGGAAATTAACGCCGATAAATTATACTGTAGGGAGAAAACTGTCCGTGAAAGACCTTGTCCGGAAAAGGCCTAGTTCACACAGAGACATGTCAAATGGTAAATGGAGTTATCGAGTAATGTTTGTTCTGTTAGATTAATAACTGCAAACCAGATAACAGCTGAAATCAAAGGATGGAACATTGATTTGAAATTTACTTTTAATAAACAGCTAACGAACAGTGTATTATTAAGGTGCTCTACTGTTTACTGTAGTTGATTAATTCATGATTGCCAAAACAGTGAACAAAATCTCCCTCGACGTGATTCCAAACCGCCAGGATTTCCCTTGATATTCACGCCTAACTACTCCACTACGTACGCATTGACCCTTACGATAAGCTTAATCAAGAAAACGGTCAAAGGTATGGGACTGGTTTTTTCAGTATAGTGCCGAAAAAACTCTGTTTTTATGTGTACTCATTTGATTTCAGCTATTATCTAGTTTGCAGTAACCATAATTTACCAAACCGAATATCTGACATGTATCTTTGTAAACAAGGCATTCTCCGGGTAGTCTTCCGCACTTTTTCGCTATTTCGGATCCGAACTTGGGCGATTTAGACTACTGATCTGAGGAGTTGGACCTTCCGTACCAATCTGTACCATGGTACAATATTTGACGAAAGTCGATTATTTCGAGATCTGAATGTTAGATTTTCTTTAAACTTGCCAGATAAGTCATATGGCTATAAGACGGATGATCTGTGCAAGTTTGGGCGAATTTCTATGTGCCAAATTTGAGATATCACTTCAAATCATAAGAAAATATCTCCAAATCGATACAATATATACAAAGGCATTTATCTGCAAACCCCCCATTTTGAGGTATTTTCTTGTGTTTGAAGTGATATCTTAAATTTGGCACAGATTATCCGTCTTATGACTGACTATAAAACTATCTGAAAGTTTCGAGAAAATCGTATATTCGAATCTGGAGAAAATTTAAAATTAGTTAAGTTATTTGTTGAAACACTCTATTTTCGACCTTTACCATATTATGATATGGTACAGTGCAGTTTTGACGAAAGTCCTTCTGGGTCCAGGAGGTGTTCTAGCAAAATTGTAAGCGAAATTGTAAATATGTCCCCCAAATGTCGCCGATTATCGATGTGAATTTACGCACGCACCGAACTTATTCGCTATTTTTGAACCAATTCACACCATTCACACCAATTCACACTTATTCACAATTTTGAGATGAAAACATCTGGATCGAGGAGGTGTTCTAGCAAATGTGTGGGCGAAATTGTGATTATGTCGCTTTATGTCGGGCGAGGTTTATTTCTCAGAATTGTGGGTATGTCGCTATTATTCGGATCCATAAATAACGAAAAGTTACTTGCGTGCGCCTATTTTTATATAGTTTTATAGATCTACATATTGTAAATCTGCTGAGCCTCTCGTAGGACGGCGGCTAAGGCCATTATAGTTAACTAGCTCATCCCGGTTCGAGCCTCGTCAGAGGTCATTTTTTTTGCATTTATTGATTACTTTACTACAATTATCAGCAGAGCACCTTAGTAATACACTTTATCAGATAAATTGTAGTGTTCGGACTTCAGCTAGAGAAGACTTGCCTTCAAGGTTTTGTACGGAGAAGGCTTCGTTCACACTGGAACATGTCAAATTATCTGTAAATGTTTTTTTTGTTTATGGTTAGAATTTAGAATGGAATCAATGTGATGAAGATCCAGAGTTAATTACCTGCTAGGATTAATAAGTCAGTTCTACAGTTGAAGAGATTTTTTTCAAACTTTAAATGAAGAAATCGGCTCGGAACTTCATTCCTAGATTCATCACTTTCAGTTAGTAACTACGGTGTACCATGGAACCAGTTAAAGCAGCGGATCAATTCAAAACATTCACATCCCACATTCTTAAATCTACATCCTTCACCAAAACCAGTTTGACCACTTAACTTTTCATTATTAATTGCAATATGAGAGGCGAGAGCCTGTAGCCAGTGCAGGAACAGTACCTTGAGATTTCGACCGTAACCGGACCATTTTTACCGTTACCGGACCATATCATCTTCATCTTGTGGCATGGTTCCCAAGCCTGATAGTAATACATATGCACTATGGCAGTATCTAGTATATCCTGAGCGGTGGAGATCTATCAATAAAGCACTGTTCGTTACCTGTTTATTAAAGGTATTTCCAATCAATATCATGTGTGATAATTCCAGCCTATATCTATTTTTCAGGAACCATAAACAATAGTCAATATACATACAATACAAGGCCTTCTCTGGGTAGTCTTCTCCTGACAACAGTATTATTTATGTAAACTCGCGCACGCACCTACCTTTTTGCGCATAACCATAGTTTTGAAAAGCGACATACCCACATTTTGAGAAGAAAACATCTACTGTCTGGATCTGAGAAAACACCCTTCTGGAACGCGCAAATGTGTTTTCTTTTGAGAGTAAAGCGCTTTAAGGCTAATTACCAAGCGCGCGGCCGGCTCGATCATAATATAATATCCGTGGCCTGCTGCATGCATGCAATGCATCCGGCCACGGATGAGGATGTTGTACCAGTGTCGAGGATGTTGTATGATGAGGATGTTGAGGATGTTATACCAGTGTCGAGTAAGCACTAAGCATCAACATTTTGGAATTAATTAGGGAATGTTAGATACAAATAATAATAATTTACATGAAACAAAACACAGATGAAAACACTGCGCAAAATTACCTACTATACAAATAAACCACATACAGACGGCGACACCCAAAATGCTCGTAGAGTTTTTCAAGTTATACACGCCTAAAATTAAAACAGGATTGTCACGTGCGACACAATCCACCCTAAGATGCAAGTATAGTTTTACTAGTGTAGCCCAGGCCTAGTTTTATACTTTCCACTTAGAATTATAACTGGCACTTTGAAACACCCTGCTGTATCGTGCCTGGTGTAACCGCGGCGAAATTCTTGTTTTGACTGATGCGTGGTTGTAATAATGTTATTGATCTCCAGTACGTAATATAGAGCATTTACTAGAATTCTTCAGTAAAAGACATTCCAAATTCTCCCTTATATTATTAATATCAAACAGATTGCTGTTTTTTTTTTTCAAACAAATTCAAATTGTCTGATATAGCAGATTGAAGTGTTGCCTAATAAAATAAATAACTAGCATATTGATATATATAACAGATTTAATATTGATATCATGTAATTTATTTATTTAATTCGCAGAGGGTAGGAACCACATGGAGACGTTTTGTTCCGAATTTTCTGTGGTCATGCCGAAATGTATCAGATTAACGGACCTGTCCATCCTTAAACGGTTACCTGAGTTCGGCTGCTCTAACTTCCAGGTTTAATATAATAATGGGGGGGGGGGGGGGGGGGCCAACCATATTAAAGTATATTAAAGTATATCCCCGGGTCAAAATCGGAAAAAATCCTACATTTTAATATACTTTAATATACCTACAATTAGTAGATTAGAAGATAAGCCAATTACTGGTCCCCTGAACTCATACTTCATATATTTTGGCTCATAAATTAGTCAAGTATCAATATCTTTGAACAAGACTAACCTTACATGAAAGGTAAATCTAATCTATACATTAAATAAAACAAAATTTTTCACATAATTTTTTATAATGTAGGTATATTAAAGTATATTAAAGTATATTAAAGTATATCCCGGGTCAAAATTGGAAAAAAAACCTACATTTTAATATACTTTAATATACCTACAATTAGTAGATTAGAAGATAAGCCAGTTGCTAGTCCTCTGAACTCATAATTCATATATTTTGGCTCATAAATTGGTCAAGTATATGGTAAGTAACATGGATTCAAAATTTTAATGGAGAAAATGTAGGTATATTAAAGTATATTAAAGTACATTAAAGTATATTAAAGTATATTAAAGTATATTAAAGTATATTAAAGTATATTAAAGTATATCCCCGGGTCAAAATTGGAAAAAATCCTACATTTTAATATACTTTAATATGGTTGGCCCCCCCCCCCCCCCCCCCAATAATAAGTTAATAATAAGTTAATATAATAATAAGTTAATATAATAATAAGTTAATATAATAATAAGTTAATAATAAGTTAATATAGTAATAAGTTAATAATAAGTGTTTCTGAAACAGAATATCGTTTATACTCATTGATAACGTTCTTTAAGCTTACAGATCTTAACCCTATGTTACTGGTCATGGTATGTTACTGGTATGTTACTGGTATGTTACTGGTATGTTGCTGGTATGTTACTGGTATGTTACTGGTGTCTGATGTATATGCTAATTGTACGTAATGTTATTCTTTGTCAGGTTGTACATTTGATACGAGATCCCAGAGCTGTTCTAAGATCCAGAATGGTTACTTTTCACGAGCTCTACAGTGGCAACGGACAAAAAACAGCCGTAAATGTACCTTTATTATTATCTCTACAGTGACAATTACGGACAGAAAACAGCCATAAATGTATCTTTATTATTAGCTTTACAGTGGCAACGGACCGAAAATAGCCGTAAATGTACCTTTGTTATTAAATTCTAACTTCTAGTTACTTAGATTTCAGTGAATAACCAGTTTCATGACATGATTCATGCCAAGTACCAGACTTTTAGCTTGGGCAGCCTAAATAAACTCATAAAAGGACTCCCAGGAAATGAGTGAGGAGATGATTTACGAAGCAGCGGTTGCCTTGTGTACTAACGGCGTGAAGAACGGGGCTACAGCCAAAGAGCCATGGTTACAAGAAAGATACATAAGAATACGATACCAAGATGTACGTTAATAACCTCCCTACCCCACCGGCCCGGCCCGCCCGCCCGGCCCCCCCCCCCCCCCCCCCCCCCCAGTATAACAGGACTGTACAACGGAGCTAGACTAGCGTGATCTTATTATTATGTGACATCTCCTGTATAATGTATAATGTATACGTGTATAAATATAATGTATACGTGTATACTGTATATTGTATAATGTATATCTCCTGTAGATGGTTGATAAACCCTACGATAAAGTGGAAGAGTTGTATAACTTTGTGAACAAGCCGGTCACAGAGAGAGTTACAAACTTTGTGGACACTTCAATGACAGGACATTCCGTCGGGTCTAACTTTGGTGTGAGTTCAATTAAAGATTCTTTATTTTCTTATAATCTTTCAAATCTTCGTTGTAGTGTTAACTTAGTATACTATACTATTGTAATAATCAAAAAATATTCATCCCGACCGAAGATACAGTCGATCTAAGTGTAAAACATTAGTCATTAGACACAATGTAATAACTACAAAACCGATCATAATTTGGCTCCAATATTCATTGCATGTGCTCGTTTCATCCTCGTTACCACTTACCAATACCTTACATTTTCATTTTGCTGTTGTTCATCCAATTCCGCGTGGGTGGTACATATGTATTAAAAAACTTTCGAATTATATAACTTGGATAATAAGACATTTTCAACTGTGGTAACTGATCATTTTAGTACCTAGAGCTGTATTTGAAAAATCAAACACAATGCATACCATTAACAATGTGATTCGATCGAATCATTCAAAATATCTAAAATACGCGAAAATAAACGTTCATTCGGGAAAAAATGTACATCGTTATTATTTGATTTTTTATATTCCTCGAATGTTACATTCCTAGCGTGTCATTCCAAAATGAATTTTTCCTGGAGAAACCACAGCTTCTATTTTAAGGTTATTAAAGATTCTAAAGCAGTTGCGGAGAAATGGCGCACTATGGACGGGGACAAGATTGCAATCATTGAAAAAGCCTGCAGCGAATTTCTCAAAACATTTGACTACGAATTATTTGACGGGAACACATAATCTACCCATCTTATTCTTACCAGACAACTTTTATAATTTATTAAAGGGGTAATAAGAGCAGAATGATAAACAGGTTTTTACAATTTATATTTACCAAATTCTCCAGTAACAGGAGTATAATGAGAAATTATGAATTAATTAATTGAAACTATGGTTAAATTTTTGCTTGAATTATTTTGTTTGAAATGTAAATTATATAGATATTAATGCAGTTCTTAATATAAGAAAGAAGAATGTTGACAAAAGCATGATTACAAACACTCGGAAATTGAGATCAGATTTGTATTGTTTATTTGCTATACTGATACAAGCACATTATTTCATTTCATTTACATGAGGAAAAAAAGATAATTTAAAGTTATTGTGAGTTTAAAGAAAACCCTTTCCATATACTCTAACTTATAACATGGATTCTTTGTCCTTGTCGGCTCGTCATCCACGTTAGTCTATGTGCTATGTAATAATTGGAGGACTTCGACGCGCAAACTATCATTCTTACTAGACTATAGATCGTTGTTAACCATTAACGGGTGATTGGTGATACTCTTAAAATATTTGTCCAACTCGGCGCGCGTCTTGGTAGGTTGTAAACCTACAAGATCGTTGCTATATTAATTCGCAGAGCAACGATCTGGAAGGGTTGACATCGTCAATCAATGTAATAAAATTAAACGCTTTAACTATGAGTTGGTTCTCATATAGCCATGTGTATACGCGTACTGCACGTGACGCGCGCTACTGCAAGCGAGAGGGCTTTGTATCACGTTGTGACCCCCACGGTCGTTTCACACTGTAAAGTTTCTACGATACAGGGGGAGCCGCGCGGCGGGTCATACAACGTATGACAAAGAGGGCTTTGGTTATTATTATATAGAGCAAATGAGTTGGCACAGAATTTTGTCTCCGATTTTGATAAATTTTGTACCAAAAGTTGCCTCTAAATAGGTAGTGCGCCATCGACAGTGAGCCGCGCGTGCCGACTGTAGGATGGTTTTTTAGCGCTAATTTCGGCCAGCACAATTTTCTTCAAACAAATAGATATTAAGTATTCTTCCCGACCTCTGATTGCAACAAAAATTAGTAAGCTTACTCATAGACTTACAAGGAAAGTGTCCGAAAAGTTTAAAGCATATCCAACCTTCAGACATTATGTTACAGCTAAAATCAGCGTATTTCGCCCCATTTTTATCACTATATCAACTCCGATATCCACCAAATTTTTCGGACAGTTGTGAAAGCCCTATTGGAAGGTCGTTGCCAATTTTCAGAATGATCTCATTCAAGGAACTGAAGATATATCCAAATAATACGACAAAAATCAACGAATTTGGTCAAATTTGGTCAAATTACGCGACTTTTACAGCTAATTTCGCTCCAAAAGCCGCGCGCCATCAAATATGGCATCTAGGCGAAACTCACTGATCTTTCCAAAAAGGTATGACAAATTTGGTATTGTGAAAATTCTCACAGTCTCTAGAAAACAATGGTACAAAAATTTTAAAAATCCGAGCAAGTTTATTTTTATGGTACACCCCCTACTCTAAATGTGAATAATTCAAAGTCGAGCTGTATGTGCCAATATTTGGCGCTAATATTATTATTACATATAGACTACGTGTTCATTTTCAATTCCGTGCTGGGTTAGTCCATTAACAATGAACAAAGAAATTATAAATAATTTGAACGCGATGCTTTGATTGACGATGTCAATCCGTCGAGATCGTTGCTCTGCGAAGCGATCGTCGACGATGCGAAGCAAGAATGCTAGTTCGCGCGGCGCGTCGAAGCGGCGAAGTCCTCCAACGCGATGCTCTACAGGGCCGCGCTGCGCATTTAGTTTGGCAACCGTCTTGCGTCTGCAAATCGGCGAGATGCGAAAAATTGAAATCGTGAATCAATAAATTATATTTTTAATTTTGCCTCTTAATCCAATTTGGTTTTATGGACGACGCGATTTCACCCTGGGGAGCGTAGGGCTAGTTTTCTTCATTCTTGAGAATGCGCGGAACGTCCCCCATCTATAATATACTTGTATCACGTGGTGACCCCCACTGTCGCTCCACTATAATACGATACAGGGGAGCCGCGCACTTCGTGCGCGGCGGGTCATACAACGTATGACAATAATATACAAAGTGTTGCCTTGTACGTAGCAGATGTACTGAATAATTTTGTTTATTGCACACCCGCATCATTCTGTTAATTTAATTTATCAATCATCTAGCAAGCTATCACTGATTTCAAGTGTCATTATCACCCTCCCAATGGTGACATGACATTCATAACTTCGCAACGTCATTTAATCACATCATACTTGTGGCTTGTGCTTGACAATATTGCAAGTTTGAAGTTATTATTTGTATGTATGTTTACACTACCAATATCATATAAATTTAATAATTTTAATTGTTTCGGTTTTCAACCTTGCTAAAAAACAAATAACTTCCGGCCAATTTGGAGGACTTCGCCGCTTCGACGCGCCGCGCGAACTAACATTCTTGCTTCGCATCGTCAATCGTTGCTCTGCTTCGCAGAGCAACGATCTCAACGGATTGACATCGTCAATCAACCGGCCATTCGATAAAGCAGTCGCCAAAACAAAGCTAAAATTGATAATTAACCTTTGTACTTCATTTCGGAGATTGTAAATTATCAATGAATAATCTGTAAAGAATAATGCAATGGTGTCCTCGATGTAATAATGGGCAAGTACTAATATATAATAATATATATATATAATAATAACTCAATGAAACAAAAAGTTTTCTATGAAACAATAAGTTTTATTTTACATTGCATTCCCTTAATCATAAATAAAATAAGAACTTAAACCATGAATCAATTAACTAGAAGTAAACTTGGGGTAATCAGAGGCGGCTATTGAGGGCGTCCAGGACCAGTGGCGTAACGTTGCCTGTTGGCGCCCCCCTGCCGAAAAAAGCGCCCCCCTGTTGGCGCCCCCTCCCCTTTTGGTGCCCCTCCCTAAAATTGAACAAATTAGGTGATTTTAAAGAATACGCCGGTAAAATCTCTAAAAAAGTGTGTATCTAGAGCAAAACGTGCAGTTTTGCTAGTACTTTAGTTAAGTTTTCGAAATTGTCCCACATTCAAACGACGATTTGGCACCCCCCTAAGACGGCGCCCCCCTGCACAGCGGGGTCAGCAGGGCCTTTCGTTACGCCACTGTCCAGTGTTTATTACGCTAACAGTGATAGCAGGAAGTCGGAAAACGTTCTACGCAACGACCTGACAGTGGCACTTTGTTTGTGTGTTATTTAGACTACAATTGAGAGACTAATTTAGAGACTAATTTGAGAGACAGTTTTAGAGTTTTTTCTTAGTCGAACTATAACTATGAGTCTTCGTGAGATACCAGTTTTAGACGACAGCGCTGACTACAGCACATGGAAGAAGAAAGTGCTAATATGGCAGCTTGGCACCGCAGCATCAACGAAACAGCAAACTAGTAAGCTGATTATGAACATGAAAGGTAGACCACAGGAGGTCTCTATAAACATGACATTAGAGGTGCTAGGGGCAGAAGATGGAGTCGTTAAACTCATTGCCAAACTGGACAAACTGTAGGACAGTACCCAGTCTTTATTTAAGGCAATAGATGATTTTGAGGGATACAGGAGAGGAGATGGAGAAGAAATACGGAATGATCGAGAGAGCTGGCAATACATAAAAACCTTTGTTCAGAGTAGATTTGGAAAAGTATCTTGATTGAGAAATAATAAGGCAATCAAATGAATGTTTTGTGTCGTTTAATGTATGAGTCAAGAGCGTTGAGTCAATCAAAAGTCAATGTTTCTATTTTAGGAATTGTGAGTTTATTCAGCTTTATGTTTTGTAATTTGTTATGTGTCGTGTTTTAAGTTTTTATCGCATTTTATTGTCGGATTCTATGATAATAAATTTAGAAATGAGTCAATTATGTCTGTTTATAAGAAATAAGAGTAATATTCAGTATGTATATCCAGTTCCATGATTCGTAGAATCGTGTTTTAGTCGTTTTTACGAGTTAATTGCTGAGCAATGTCAGGAGTATTATATATTATTTCGTCTCGTCAGTTTTTATTTTAAGTTTGTATATTTAATTTTAATTTGCAAAAGAATGTGGTCGCAGGTAAACATAATAATATATCTGCGTATATAATATGTTTGTAGCTAATTTAGGGAGCTAATCTACTTTGCTGAGTTGTTCTTTTAGTATTTATCTCAAATTATTTACTCGTTTTATGGGGACGCTTTTAGTTTTTGAGCTAGATATTATAACATCTCGGTGAGTTTTTTTTAGAACAAAGGGATCTCTGTATTGCTAGTAATTTTGAGCTCGTAGGTGTAGAAAGTACTTATAGTGTTAGCATTTGAAAATGCGCGCGCGCGGCATTTATATTTTAGCGGGGTTTTAAAGAGATTTTAATATGACTTGTTATGTTTTTCTCTGTAATAAGTTCCGAACAGTTTCGTCTCGATAGGTTACTCAAGGTGATAATCTGAAGACATCTGATGCTCCAACGGGGTTGTTGAGCGTATTTATGATTGATGTGTATTATTAAAATGTTTGACAGTTTCGTCTTGATAGGTCACTGCGGGAGATAATCTGAAGACAGCTGTAGCTCCAACAGGGTTGTTGAGCGTATTTGTGGGTACAAGTTTATTGTTTGATAGATTCGTCCAGATAGGTCACTGCGGGTGATAATCTGAAGACAGCTGTAGCTCCAACAGGGTTGTTGAGCGTATTTAATTATTTGATGGATTCGTCCAGATAGGTCACTGCGGGTGATAATCTGAAGACAGCTATAACCCAAACGGGGTTGTTGACTGTATTTTAATTATATAATGGATTCGTCCAGATAGGTCACTGCGGGTGATAATCTGAAGACAGCTATAACCCAAACGGGGTTGTTGACTGTATTTAATTATTTAATGGATTCGTCCAGATAGGTCACTGCGGGTGATAATCTGAAGACAGCTATAACCCAAACGGGGTTGTTGACTGTATTTAATTATTTAATGGATTCGTCCAGATAGGTCACTGCGGGTGATAATCTGAAGACAGCTATAACTCAAACGGGGTTGTTGACTGTATTTTAATTATTTAATGGATTCGTCCAGATAGGTCACTGCGGGTGATAATCTGACGACAGCTGTAGCTCAGACGGGATCTTCGAGCGTATTTTTGTGTAATTTAACAGTGCAATCTTGAGAGAAATTGGGGCTAGCATTGCTGGAAAAGGAAAACCGGGGAATGTTATTACTGTTCACACCTTTCTCTCTCTTTCGTGACAGAATACTTCTAACCGTGTTTACCTTTTCTAGCAATGACAAGCAAAGAAGGATAACCGATTGGACTGGGGAGGAGTGGAACATTGGCAGCACACTACCGTCCAATCGGTAAGTATTTATAATGTTTAGTTATTAGGTATTTATTTGGAATTGGTTTAATTTGGTGGTAAAGTTATTCTATTATGTAATAAAGTATTTTGTTTTACAGGTTTTGTACATACGACAAATACGGGTTTTATTGTTCAACTAGAGGCCATCTAACATCCAGGACGCACTAAAATTATTTTATTTTGGCTGGTGCTTGAAATATTGATTAGTAATCGAATGTGATCTTTGCGAAATTTTGTGTTGTAGGGTTCCAATCCTCGTTTGGACAACTACGCCGCGCGTTTTAACTCATAGTTAATTGTAAACGGTACAAAGCACATCAAGCGCATCCACTACAGGTAATCTATATGATTTGGTCGTCCAGGACACCTTGCAATTTGAACTATTGACTGTTATGATTCTGCGCGGCTGAGATTGTATACGTGTGGTGTCCTGTTTCACCCATGTTATAAGTTTTTGTTTATTTGCTGTCGCCTGTGACACATTACATACATGAGGCACTGTGGCCTGTGTGTAACTGTAATGTACGTTGTAATAATTTAATTAAAGTCATCAGTGAATAGACATCGGCAGTTTGGGGGGGGGGGGGGGGGAGAGCTTGGGGCGGTCCCAAGCCCCCCCCCCCCCCCCCCCCATTCAATCGATTCACGATTCTTTGGTGATATATTGTGTACCATAATTATTTATTCAACTTTATTGGTTGTTATTATTTTTATTATGGCAAGTGGTTGAATTTAGTGCAACAGGGCCAGGGTCAGTTTCTCTATTGTCTTGAGACGATCTCTTCTTTATGGTCACACATAGAACTTGCACTGGTGCCAGATTTGCAAATGGTATGAAGCTGTTTATTTAAAACTGTGATTTAGCCCAAAGTGTCCGCCGTCCGGTGATGAGGTGAGGAGGTATATAATACTCTCCTGTCAAGCTGAGTTGTAAGCAGCTAATAAATTTCAAGGTTTGGAAAGTTTTTTTCTGGGCACTTTCCATTTTGAAACCTTAAATATTGGAATATGATCCCCTAGGCCCTATCCTATGGCTTGGGAGAGTTCCAGAATTAATAACTGTTTCCTTAGTGTTATTCAGGATGTTATCAATTTAAGAGCCTTTACAATTATGCCTTTCATGGCCTGGGTCGATATTAATTCGATTATGATATTTATGACATTATCCTATGTTCCTGTAGCAAAGGAAATTATGGGTATTGAATTTAGAGCGGACAAGTTGAAGAAACCAAAGAATATTCTTATACTGGCTCAAATTGTAAGTTTTTTAATATGTATGTTCACATAAAATAACATTATAAATTTAACTCATTGTTTACCTATTTTGATTCAGGCATAATTGTTAGTCATCACATCTACGGATGTTTGATTCGGATATTTCTTTCTCTATGACTGCTCACCTGCATACAATAACAACATTACATTCAGTGCTGCCATAGTTTACTGAGCTGTTATGTGGCAACCCTTACTGTTATGTGGCAACCCTTACTAATTTAATGTATTGTTGCCAAAAACGGGGAGCCGGCGTTCAAATTGGTTTTTCATTCTTTGTACAAGAAGATTGGTCGAAAAGATCATTTTTAGTTTACTGACGAGCGAATTCTTACAAATGGAGGAACGAAAAAGGAACTGTCATCATTTCTGTTCAAAGTTGTGAATCGGTCACTAGGCTTGATTAAGTTACTGAAAAATGGATGTTTAGAAGAAGATTCTTTGAAATCGGAAGCCAAGCATGCAATCAAAGAACTAGCTGCTGTCCAGAATAAGCATCTGCACTGGTTAGCAAAAGGGAACAGATAGATATTCTTCAATCTGATATTCAGACTACATTGAAGAAATAACTGGAATCATACAGTGAGGCTGTTAAGAAGTCGACTGCTGAATCAATCACCTTGAAGAAGATTAAAACAGCTGTAAAGGAGCTGTTTTACTCCTGAAGAAGACAGGGGTAAAAACCTCATGATATTTGGACCGGAAGAAGCAGCTGGCAAATATCTACGGTTAATGAAGTATTCATGTCGATTCAAGAGAAACCCTTTTTCAAGGCAGATGAATTGGGAAACAGCATGGTAGTGACATTTACAGGCCTGTCAACAGTCAAGGTCATATTGTACAGTTCAACCGCATTGGCAGATCTTTTGAGAAAGACGAAGGAGCTTAAAAACACGGTTCTCAAAAATGTTTATATGGCACCTGATCGAACCCTGGAGCAGAGAGTAGAACATCGAAAACTGGTAGCAGTGTAGATAGAAAGCTCGAGAAACACCGAACGGACAATATTTTATCAAGAATGGCGTTGTTTGCAGTCAAGCAAAAGCAATAGAAGATATGGACATTGTCTCGACAAGTTCAACAACCGAAAGTAATAGTGCAGGAGTACTAAGAAAAAGGAAAAGAAACCCAGACTACTTTTCCGGCATCACATAGCGTGTAATCAGGATATCTGTCACCAGTAACAACTGACTCATCAGATTGTGATGGATAGACAATTTAAATTTGGTCCCCCTGTAATGAACTTTGTTATTTTAACTGGGTTGATTTCTGAGTCATAACGTTGCTTATCTTTTACAGCAACACATTTTTCTGGTTACATGGCCGATAAGATGTTTGTTAAGTCATCTATATAATAACGGTTTTAATATTATTACATAGCACATTTTAGGATTGAATTAATATTGTTATTAAAATGCTCATGGTAGCCATATGTTTTAGATTTTCATCTTCATCATCATCATACTGTTTAAATCAACAAACTATTACTGTTTAAATCAACAAACTATTGCAGTTTAAATCAACTTACTATTACTATTAACTATTAACCTTTTTATTTTTCAGCTTTTCTCAGTGCTCTCCAGCAGTATAATTAGTTTGTGGAGGGATAGTACTACTTCTGATGGTATAAGTAAGTAGTAATAGTGACTGTAAGTAGTAATAGTGACTGTAAGTAGTAATAGTGACTGTAAGTAGTAATAGTGACTGTAAGTAGTAATAGTGACTGCACTGTAAGTAGTAATAGTGACTGTAGGTAGTAATAGTGACTGTAAGTAGTAATAGTGACTGTAAGTAGTAATAGTGACTGTAAGTAGTAATAGTGACTGTATGTAGTAATAGTGACTGTAAGTAGTAATAGTGACTGTAAGCTATGTTGTAATTATCCATCTTTTCAAAGAAATCTCTTTAGGTAAAACTTCTTAAATGTCACAGAATAACCATCTTGTAACTTGATCCAATTTATGTTTGGCACCCTGGTCATTTGAAACACCCCTAAAAGTTTGTTTTTGACACAAAATTTAAAACTTGAACTGCAATTTCATTTGTGTTTTAGTTACGCATTTGATTTTTTATATGCGAAATGGGGGGGGGGGGGGGGGGGGGGGGGATTACAACTATTGTATTGGAAAAATAAAAAAATACTGACATTAATGGTCGTTGCATTCCCCCCGAAAATCAATACAGCTTTAAAATTTTCGGCGACCTCTTAGCTCACTCACTAGACCCAGTTGGAGTGATTGAACTGCGAGAGAATTAGCCTCATCACTTTTCAAAAAGAACTTTCTTATGTTAGTAAATAAAAGCATTCAACATTAAAACTATCACTAATTGTTAAATATTATAATAAGCGAGACAGGAGTTAGCCTCAATCTCACCTCCAAAACTCATGTCAGGTTAGTATATGATCGTCGACTATTCATAAATACATGTTAGACAGAAACAATTTTAACTTTAAGGGCTTAAAGTTATCTTCCGGTGACAATCTGATAAAGTTAAATTAGGAAATACGTTGTCCATCTCGTGCGAACTTTCCTAATGACCAGGGTCTCGGACCTCGGTGTATTATATCCTACTTACTTGCCTGCTTTAATTAATTTCCTTTCAGAGTTCAGCTTTGGCTATCAGAGACTCCCCAAAGGAAGTTATTTGGGATTTTTGGTGGCAATGACAGTTTGCTTGTTGATTGTAAAAGCAATTGTCTTGTTTCTTAAGCTTATCAGCCTTCAAGAGAAAGTTCCTTACTTCGATGTATTTGTAAGTGATGCTCAATTCGATAAAACATTTTTTTCTGGGCTTTATCCCCTTTACTATGAGTGTGATGTGTTTGCGAGGAAAGCCTAAACGTGCACTGTTGAATAATCAACATGCCCTGCTTGACCTCAAAAGATTTTGACTGCACAAATTTAATCCTCCAAAAATTATAACTTGGTAGTCTCATGACTACACGTGACTACACGTGACTACACGTGACTGCAGGTGACTACAGGTGACTGCAGGTGTTTTACAATCTCACATTTCAGAATCTCTTTCTGAGCGCGGCGATGGTGGCACTGCTTGGACTGGCTTGTATCCTGGGAGTTGTTGTTGTTAACTCGACCACTACTAAACACCGCTCTAAACATACTCTACCCGCGGGAGTGGTAAATATTCATTTTTATACTGTGTAAACAGCTGCTTACTATTTAAAGTTCAGTTACTAAGTTACTAAGTTAAGTTACTTAGTTTCACCACTCAATAAAATTGCAGCCCCCCCCCCCCCCTCCCCCAGATTACTGCTGTAGTTGTATGTTCTTTTTTGGAAAATATTTCGTTTAGAAATAATGAAACGACCAAATGCAGAACTAATCTATTGAATTATATCCACATAGACACTTTAGGCCAGAGGGGGGTAAAAGTCGATTTTCCAGTTTTCACATATTTGATCAGAGCTGCTGGAGACGAACAAGAAGAAAAAAACCGGACCGAAATCTGACCTTGCGTTTTTAAGATATCGCGCGCCAAATATTGAGGTTTACATGTAATTACAAGTAAAGCTTTAACTTAAACTGTAAAAAGTTAAAACGCCCTAAGTTGACAAGACTGGCCACACCCAGAAGCTGAAACTTGGCAGAGGTGTTCCTTTGGGTGTTGCACAAAAACGTTATGTTTTAGAATTTTGATTTTTGCCCTGGTTCTTGAAATATGAGGTTAACTTTACCCCAAATTCGATTAAAAAAAAGTTAACCTCATATTTTAAAAATGAAGGCAAAATTCAAAATTCTACAACATAACATTTTTGCCGAACAACCCAAGGAACACTTGTGCCAAGTTTCAGCTTCCGGATGTGGCCAGTCTTCTCAACTTAGGGACGTTTGTATGAAAAAAACCGTTTCAAGTAAAACGAGTTTTAGTGTTTTTATTTCACTGCCAAAATCTCAAATTGTGCATTATTTTCCGTATTTAGTAGCGTCTCCATACAATTTTTTCCCTACTCTTGCCGAAGGCAAAACGATCGTAGGGAATAAGTAATCGGGTTTGGATATATGAGGTGGCCCGATGGACCTGCGGTGATGACAAAAGTCTGCTCCTTCGCAATATAGACCACTCCCCTATAATTATGTGTATAGGAAGCGTATGTTATGCTGCGCGCGACGCTAGCCATGTGTTAATTGATTACAGTGAAATTCCTCCTTCGCAAAGTTATTTTCCGCAATTTTCTGGATCCATTTATTGTTGATGAGCGGTGCTACATTGGTCAAATAAATCGTCAATTTTTGACGCTACTAAATACGGAAAATAATGCACAATTTGAGATTTTGGCAGTGAAATAAAAACACTAAAACTCGTTTTACTTGAAACTGTTTTTTTCATACAAACGTCCCTAAGTTGAGAAGACTGGCCACATCCGGAAGCTGAAACTTGGCTCAATTATATAAAAAAGTTAAGCAGCTAAAAATATGTGAATAGCAGCAATGTTTTTGTCGTCAAAAATTAAATTGATTTAGAAAATGATATTTTGGTCGAATTTTTTTACCCCTTACCCCCCCCCCCCCCTCCTCTGGCCTAAAGCAAAATTGTAGATCCTCGGGCGAACCATTATGTATGTTGTATGTTTCGGTACAGTACTAATTGTATCACCACCGTGATGCGTGTAGTGCTCCTGTATAATGTGCAGCGGTGTAGTATGTACATTACTAAAACTCAATATTCAGCCTCTATAAACACGAGCCAATTTATTTTGTACAATGTACATTAGAAATACTGTAGTAGTACATATTGTGAATATGTGATGTTGTTTGTACATATTAAAATGTATACTTAAATGATCGACTCTCCAAAAAGAAGCTATATTTGATACTGATACTTTTCTGATTGATGTTGAGAATCAATAATGTTTCATTAAAAGAGCCTGCATTTCATAGTAAAGTAGAAGGCTGAACATTATTTGAGCCTCTCAAAGGTCTATAGAAATTGATAAACAGGGAGCATTGCTAGTAGCACGAGTAGCCGGCTAGTGTCCGGCTAGTAGCCAGTAAATGGTCACTAGCCAGCTAGTAACCGGCTTGTGACCACTTTTTAGATGTGACATGGTTTTGATATGGTTATGACATGGTTATGACATGGTTATGACATGGTTATGACATGGTTATGACATGGTTATGATATGGTTATGACATGGTTATGACATGGTTATGACATGGTTGTGACATGGTTATGACATGGTTGTGACATTACAAGTAATAAACTTGTTACATCACACAATTTCATTTTAACTTTTGTTTATAAGCGTCAACCTACTTTTTTGCACATTATTGTTTAATTAATATATTTTAGCTGTTACCATATACAATATTCAATCATTCAATTACAGCAGGCCTATTCAGCAGTTTACAAATTTATTGAAAGGAAATAAGTACTAGAGTCAGCGACTGCGATTTAATCAGAAGACCAAGTTTGTCACATGAACATCTAGGCAGTGTTTGATTGGTCTAAGCACGTTACCAAACCCCAAAATCTGCTGCTGAGTTGGCTGAGATATTTTAGGAAAATCTCTCAATTTTTGGCCCGTTTAAATCTGGGTGATTATTTGTCACATCAGTATATTTTTTTTCAAATTTACACGTGAGTAAATCCAATTATTCGAGCTAACCTTAACCTCAACCTAAAATAAAATTTGGTGATGTTACAAGTTTATTATTAGTTCATCATTCAGGACGGTGTTTGGATCCGCCCTCGTGTCCATGTTAAAGTGTCCACCCTTTCAGGAAAGTGCCACCCTTGTGTCCTCCACCCTTGTGTCCTCCGCCTTCGTGTCCGGTTCCCATTAGTAACGCAGGCCTATTTATCTCCTGAATTATCGATAATTTCAATCATAGCTGTTAATAACTAGTGTCAGAATCAGTTTGAATGAAGTAGAATAGTAGCTCAATTATTAGATGCAAATTACATGATGGGGTCAACTGTCAAGATTCATATCCACCACAAAATCTGTGTGGCAGAGACCACGTTTCCTTGATTTTTGTATGCGATTTGTATGCGATTTTCACCCCTATATGCGATTTGTGTTCGATTTGGGTTGGGCGTGGCCCCTTGGAGTGACCTAAGTGGTTTGAGAGGTCGAAACTTGGTTTTTATGATGGTTTGGGACAGATACTATTTATTTTACCAATGAAACCATGAACACAAATTGCATATAGGGCAGAGTAAAGATTTTTGACTTGAATTATAACATTTCTGGGGTCGGTTCGACACGTGGATGTGGCTCCAAGTCGGGTTTAAGGTGCTACTGAGTTATTCATATCTTAGTATCTCTAAATACGAGCAGTTTAGGGAGACTTCTAAAATCTTATCCTCGTAAATTCTACAATTATAAATATTGTAACGTACGTGCGACGCGCAAATCGCATACAAAATTGCATACACATTTCAAGGAAACGTCTTCTGGGCACGTTTCCTTGATTTTTGTAGGGGATTTGTAGGGGATTTGACCCTTGTAGGGGATTTATGTTCCGGGGTATTTGGAACATGTTTAGGTGGTTTAATAGTTAGTACCTGACCCAAACCATCAGAAAAATGAAGTTTCGACCTCCCAACCCACTCAAGCCACTCACAGGGGCCACGCCCATCCCAAAATAGCTGAAATCCAGGTAAAATCAAGATTGAAAATCTTTACCCCTGTAGGGGATTTATGTTCCGGGGTATTTGGAACATGTTTAGGTGGTTAAATAGCTAGTACCTGACCCAAATCATCAGAAAAATCATGTTTCGACCTCCCAACTCACTCCGGCCACTCCCAGGGGCCACGCCCATCCCAAAATAGCTGAAATCCAGGTAAAATCAAGATTGAAAATCTTTACCCCTGTAGGGGATTTATGTTCCGGGGTATTTGGAACATGTTTAGGTGGTTAAATAGCTAGTACCTGACCCAAATCATCAGAAAAATCATGTTTCGACCTCCCAACTCACTCCGGCCACTCCCAGGGGCCACGCCCATCCCAAAATAGCTGAAATCCAGGTAAAATCAAGATTGAAAATCTTTACCCCTGTAGGGGATTTATGTTCCGGGGTATTTGGAACATGTTTAGGTGGTTAAATAGCTAGTACCCGACCCAAATCATCAGAAAATCAAGTTTAGACCTCCCAACCCACTCCGACCACTCCCAGGGGCCACACCCATCCCAAAATAGCTGAAATCTAGGTAAAATTAAGATTGAAAATCTTTACCCCTGTAGGGGATTTATGTTCCGGGGTATTTGGAACATGTTTAGGTGGTTAAATAGTTGGTAACTGACCTAAACCATCAGAAAAATCAAGTTTTGACCTACCAACCCACTCAGGCCACTCCCAGGGGCCACGCCCATCCCAAAATAGCTGAAATCCATAAATCCAGACTGAGACTCTTTACCACCGGTTGCGATTTGTGTTTCGGGGTATTCTTTTTGGTATGACTTACTATCACCACTCTTTTGAGGAATATGTTAAATCGAAAAATATTCATGTTCATTTTTTTCGAATGAAGGTTCATTATCGCATTTCTTTGATAGTTTTGATAATCAGATCGAGCAAAATTTTATAGAATTGTATTTGGCCATTCAAATTACGTTAGGTCTGGAAAAATGAGAGTTGTAGCTTCTCAGATCACCGAGATTCGAGGGATATAACTTGTGAACTCGGCTAGTATATATGAAACATTTGTCATGGAGTTGTAGAGGGAGTTATGTGCCTCGCCGGGCTAAAGTAGTGGATGACCTTGCTGTACGGCAAGTTAAACAAGGATCTGAAACTACTAGGTTCCGTACAGACTCAACTCTGCACCCGTGTCAATATGTTCATTATATGCAAGCCTCTTGATTTATAACAAGTTTATTCATTACGTGTGATCAAGTGATTGGATTACCTGTTCAGGTGATTATGTGACCCCGTTAAATTGAAAGGGAACCCAATTAAGGTGTCCTATCACATTATCACCCAATCAATTTTGTTAACGAGATACATAAAATGCTTGATAACTTCGTCATTTTAAATCCGTTTGGCCTCAATTTATAAGATCAGATGCAGCAATTGATTACCTACAGTAAACTGAAATAAATGGGTGTTTAGCATGTTCGGAAAAAACAATATAGGTGATTTAATATTATATAGGTGTGGCCTAGAATATTCAAATTTTCGAACATTGGCGACGGAATCCTCGAATGATTAGTTACAGCAAGCCATCTGCAAAGTTACAGGTCCATAGTATGAAACACGGTGGTGGTTTAAGACCCAACGTATGTAACGTTACTTTTGCCCCACCCCACCCCCTGTAGCTTTTCCGGGTTAGGCTTGGCCCCTGGGAGTGGCCTGAGTGGGTTGGGGGTCGGAACTTGATTTTTCTGATCGTTTGGGACAGGTAATAACTATTAAACCGTGCTAAACATGTTCCAAATACCCTGGAACACAAACCCCCTACAGGGGTAAAGATTTTCAGTTTGGATTTGTAGGGGATATGACACGGATTTCAAATCCCCTACAAATAGTTGCACGCATTGTTCTTAGGAGTAGCCTGAGTGAGTTGGGAGGTCGAAACTTGATTTTTCTGATCGTTTTGGACAGGTACTAACTATTAAACCACCTAAACATGTTCCAAATACCTCGGAACATAAATCCCCTACAGGGGTAAAGATTTTCAATCTTGATTTTACCTGGATTTCAGCTATTTTGGGATGGGCGTGGCCCCTGGGAGTGGCCTGAGTGGGTTGGGAGGTCAAAACTTGATTTTTCTGATGGTTTGGGACAGGTACTAACTACTATTTAAGTAATAATAAAATAGGACCGTGCTTGATGGTGAACACATTGTGGGGATTTTGATGATATCATTTTAAATTTACACTAATTGCACATTAATTAAGATTTAAGAAATTAAAACAGTGATGACTTATGGGCTAGAACATGCTGTGTCGGCCATTATTTCAGGTGCATTTATTTATTATCTTGTTTATATATAGCTAGAAGTATTTGTATCTGGACATTGGTGAGTGAGGGTTGTAGTTTATACTAGAGTTTAAATTAGTGTCTCACTGAATAATTAGCACAATTTTAATACCAACTCAGTACATGATAGAGATAGAGAAAAGAAGCTCAATTCTTATATGAATCAATAATTGAAACCAAGTTTATGTTTTATTAATTTAAAACACAGCATGATTTGTCAGTTAAATTTGTACCAATCAATACTCAATTAACACATAGTCTTTCTTAATGTAAACAATAATGAATCCCAATATATTTAAGAAACAAGAAATAAAACTGTTTAATTATATATCAAAAATGCAGCTTAGTTAGTTATTTAAGTGACAAGTGTGCACATGTAATCAATATTTAATTACATTAATTAATACATATTCATTCTCAATAATGTCTCATGATATTAGCACAGTGTTTGAAATCACCTGATAATAATCGTTCCATCTCTTCTAACGTTATGTCAGGGTGTGAATATAGCAAAACTGTACAGTAAACTCTAGCTCGAGACATGGTTAGGTATAGACCAGGCAGGTCAGTAAAATCTCCAAATTTAACTATACCAATGACAGCTGGCCATTCTCCTGAAGAAGTCTGTGAGCGATATAACAAGGGTATGTTATCCGTAGACTGTTCACTCCTATATTTTGCAACTTTTATTTCTACCATTTGTCTGTCTGTGCTGTTAGATATCACAGCTGTATTTAACGGTGTACTACATTTTCCCGCTGCAGCTTGTCTAACTCTTTATCTAGGTAAGTGTCTATCAAATCAACATCTCCGCTCTTAAAAACATGTATGTTGACTTTCGGTCCACGAATGTAATGACCTGGTGTTTGTTTAACAATGGTTTCATCTGAATAGCTTGATCCTTTTATTTTTGTCATTATTTCTTTTTCTATTTTGTCCCTTATTACTGATAAACTATTCGATATATCGTATGTGTTTCTCAAGTTCTTTGATAGAGTAATTGTGTAAAAGTGGGAATATGATTGTTGTATAGATGAAGGATGTAGTATACAACAACTACCCTGTGCCATGTCATGAACTATCCAGATATAACGGTTGCCCTGATTAACCTCCGGCAAAGAACATAACGTTGTCATAATGTTATTCTTTCCCTCAATGTCATCATAACATGGAATCGCTTGCATATCGTCTAAAAACACATCACAATCTAGATGTGAAGTTATTATTTCTGAAAACCGTTGGCTGATTTCGGAACTCGACAAAAGCTTCAACTTGCCATCGTGCCTCTTATATCTTGGATAATGAATTATGATAACTTGATTATCAGCTAATTTGAAGGATATCATCTCAATAATCTGCAACGTGGTCATCTTATTAATTTCACCCCAGGATTGTGTGTAGTAGCGTACACTCGTTTTTTCAAAAGCAGTTTTAACTTCCTCCACAGCTGGGGTTTGAGCAACGAAAAATATGATTTTTCTATTCGCATCCGACTCAGCACGCTGTACTGCTTTAGCTATCAATATGACACTTTTGCCCGTTCCTGCGGGCCCATTGATAAGAACTAAGCGTTCCTGTAATTGTACGTTTCAATCTGCTTCTTAGTGAGGTTGTTCACTCCTAAGTACTCCTTAATGACGTCTGGGGCTGGAATTACGTTTGGATTATTTTCCCTGAACGTAAAACTTCCAGTGCGCAGTTTTTTATCAATATCCTGTATACACCGTCCCAAACTGCACTTGGATTTATCACAGTGGCCCTTATTATCCGTACACCAAATAGCAAGCAGCATGTTCCTGACTTTATCATGTTTTGCTTGAAAGTCACAGTTCAAAGCTTCTTCCGTGTGAAAATCTGTAACGTTGCCTTTCCACCAAGATGCAAAATCTTCTGTATCTTCTTTGAATATAACCGATGATAGCTGATCAGACTCCAAGGTAAGTTCTGCTCTGGATCCCTTCGTGAAGTTAGGATAAGCTGTAAAGTGGGAGATATTTGTGCTGTTCTCGATGCTTCTGATCAATTTCACTATTCTTTCCCTCTGTTTTTCTGATTTCTTGTATGATCCCTGCAATCCTAACTTATGCTGTTGTTCATCTAATCCAGGATTCTGCTGTTTTGCTTCACTAAAACTTGTCATATTCTTCGCTTCAATGATCACAAAATAGTTCTCTCCTATGATCAAAAAATCGCACTCTCCCTCGCGATTGTTTGGTGTTTTTCGGCAAGCCACACACCCTTTTCTAACATGACTTTTATCGCACAAACGATATTGACGGTGAGTATATTCGAAACTGTGTAGAACTTTTATATCTTCATCTAGTAGCTCCTCCAGTGCTCTATAAACTACAACTTCGGTCTCATAGTCTAACTGACGTTTTTTATCATCTTTAAAACTGGGACCAGGCTCGCCTTCATCTGGGTATACGTCGATATACGTGTGTTGTGGAGCTTTAGGTAGCATGATTGAGCGTGTTTCTGTTGACGTACAATACGTATCGTAGATATCTTTCCCGTTCTTGAGATATTCCTCCATTTTGAGATCTCTGAAATAATTGTGTACCTTTATTTCTTTATTCAAGTTTCGAAACTATGACAATGATATAGCAATATATGAAATTTCATGCACAAGGCTGAAACGAAATACGTGCGGTCGTTAGTTGAGGTACGAAAAAAACTGAAATGATGCATGATTCAACTGTCAAATTTCCACATCTCAAGTTTAAACAACTGCAGCAACAAAGTCAAATCAACAACATACCGAGTGTAGATCGTAAATGAGAGAAGACAGAGAAGTCCAGTATAGACTTAACACAATAAGAGAAAACGCTATGTTCAAAGTATTATGTAAATTATGTTTCATGAGGATATAATATTATGATATATAATCTAATTATATTATCCTTCCTAGATGTTATATATTAGGGTAAGTTTATTACATTACTACTGTAACACAGCATTTACCGCGTCATAAGGTGACTTAACTATTAAACCACTTAAACATGTTCCAAATACCCCGGATCATAAATCCCCTACAGGGGTAAAGATTCTCAGTCTGAATTTGTAGGGGATTTGATACGGATTTCAAATCCCCTACAAATAGTTGCGCATTGTTCTTAGGAGTGGCCTGAGTGGGTTGGGAGGTCGAAACTTGATTTTTCTGATGGTTTGGGACAGGTACTAACTATTTAACTACCTAAACATGTTCCAAATACCCCGGAACATAAATCCCCTACAGGGGTAAAGATTTTCAATCTTGATTTTACCTGGGTTTCAGCTATTTTGGGATGGGCGTGGCCCCTGGCAGTGGCCTGATTGGGTCAGGAGGTCGAAACTTGATTTTTCTGATGGTTTGGGACAGGTACTAACTATTAAACCACCTAAACATGTTCCAAATACCCTGGAACATAAATCCCTACAGGGGTAAAGTTTTTCAGTCTGGATTTGACCTGGATTTCAGCTATTTTGGGATGGTCGTGGCCCCTGGGAGTGGTCTGAGTGGGTCAAGAGGTCGACATTTTGTTTTTCTATTGGTTTTGGGACTGGTACTTCCTATTTAACCACCAAAAAACGTTCCAAATACCCGGCAACACAAATCTCCTACAGGAGTAAAGATTCTCAGTTTGTATTTTTAGGGGACTTCAGCTATTTTGGAATGGACGGCCTAAATGGGGTTGGATGTGTTATTAAGTTATTCAATATATTCATATCTTATTGTCTATAAATACGAGCAGTTTGGTGAGACGGTTACCGTCGTAGATTCTACAATGATAAATATTGTAACGTACGTGTGGCGCGCAAAATCCCCTACAAAAGTCAGGGAAACGTCTTCTGGGCACTGGCGCGCGTACGCCTCGTCAATGTTTTCTGAATATGTAAGCGCTCCGAGGGAAATTACATAGCGCGCGGCGGCGCGCGCACACTTGTCTTGTACCGGTATTTGTAAATGCCTCACAACATGCCAGCCCCCCCCCCCCCCCCCCCCCCCCCCCGGATAACAAAATGAAAATTCTTATATGGATCAGAAACAATGAATACAATAATAAAATCAAATGTAATTAGTTAACCTACTGTACCTAGTAATTAATTACCTCTACTATTACAGGTGTTCGGATGGTTTGCTGTAACTGCGTTAACTGTTGAGACTGTGCTATCATACCTGGAACTTAGAAAGTAAAGAGGAAGTGTATTCTCACAGCTTTACATCGTATTCTCTAGTCTCTACGCTCTCTATATTCTTTATTGCATCTAATGATCTCCACAGTGCTTATCTAGTGACACTTCTGTCAGATCCACTATCGTTTTCGTTATGGGATTGAACTTTTTTAGTGGCTCAGTTGAAAAATCTGGCATTTCTCGAGGTACCAGGCTGTTGGAATGTCAGAAGTAAAATAAGTGTTGAGATTAAAAAGCTTTGATTGAAATTTCACGTTTTACTTTTAGTATCGGGTTTTATATTTCACACTCACGTGATCTCCTTAAATGGGAATCACGTGATATCCTTAAATGGGCATCACGTGATCTCCTTAAATGGGAATCACGTGATTTCTACTGAAGTACTGGATTAAGTGTGTAGCATAGAGTAAAGATACAGTTAAACTGCGAAGGCACAACACCAAACCAACCTTACTCTATCTCCCAAAAACAACCTTCTCCTGGTCAGCCATGTCCCTCATCCTGCACTTGACCCCCGCAGAGGTCACAAGCCCATCGGAGCACAAACGAGCGAGAAACGGGGAAGCCTTAGCTACCGGGCTAAGGACTGCATCACTAGCAGCGAAATACGGATATACCCTCCCTTTTACATGCGTTCAACCGGCACCCGAACCACACGCTGTTTCTTAGACATAACTTCCCACTTACATCAGTGTCTTCTCGCATCAACTGGCATCGGCAAGTGGCGACACTGTGTAGACTCAACCCTGAGCTTGATCAGAATCTTCAGTCACAAACCTGACACCGTTTCGGGGCTTTCATTGCGATACGGTTTTCTGTCAGGTGCCCCAGCAGTCTCTCTTGGACCACCATCTGATCTGACAATCACCCGAGGATACCTGCTAGAGCTCGCGATTTACGACGAGTTAGCTTATGGCACCTCTGGCTGTTAGGTGAAGTCATAAAGCTCAAACAGCTCTCATCTCCCACTCTCTTTTCCTAGACAGCAGATAAATCCATCTTGAACAATGGGCTGCATCCTTCCCACAATCTCTGACCAACTTCTTGAGGGCTCTCCCAGTCAGACCAATCTTCCTTGATGCACACTCCAAACTTGCTGCGACCACACCTCTAGCACCAACCTCAACAGCAAAGCTGAAACATGACCACCCATTAGCTTGTATTTCCGCTTGTAGACTGTTATACCGATCAAGCTTCAGCTCATGGGATGCAGCTATTCTCTCTTCCGACGGTACTGTAAGCTCCCACCAGATTACTCTCTTGGAAGCTTTCGAGAAAAGAACCAAATCTGGTCTTAATCTGGTCGTTGCTATATCCGACGGGAATTTCAGCTGCTCATCCAGGTCTGCTAATACTATCCAATCAGTGGCCCCACTCAGAATCCCAAACTCACTGACTTTCGACCTCTTCACCTCCTTAAACCTCCCTCCTGCTGGAACAAACTCAATGGCTTTCCGAGTGACACAATAGCTCTTCCTCTTGTTGACTCTCCGCTCACAATGGAATTTCACTTGGTCTGCTATTTGTTTAAGCACCTTATCGTGGCGCCATCGGTATCTCCCTTGACTTAGTGCCACAGGACAACCAGCCAGAATATGCGGCACAGTTCCCAACTTGTCACCACACAGCTTGCACATCCCATCCTCATCCTCGCTCCACTTGGATGCTAAAGCTGGTGTAACAAGCGTGCCATACACAGCACTAAGCAGAAAACCGATTAATGAGTCCCCATACTTGAAGAGCGTGTGCCAGCTCATGTCAGTCCTTGTTACCAGCTCTCTCCAATTACCCCACCTGGACTGCATCTCCAACGTACCCAACTGCACCTCTCTTTCCTTCCTGATGTTCTCCTTAACCCTATCCAACACCTCCCTCTGCTGCTCCTTTTCTGACATCTTCTCCCAGGGCTTCTTCCAATCACCGAAACCAATTCCCGCTCTACTAAGAGGTTGCACCATACCTCGCACTGACTCACACACCAAGTCTCTTTCAGCTTCGTGAAGCTGAGCATCTGCCTTCCAAACTCTCCCAGACCGCACCTGGGGTTGCACCGCTCTGATCAAAGCATCCTGAGATGTTTGATATGACTGCAAGAGACGGCACTTTTCTACTTTCCAAGTGTCGGTTAGGCTGTCGATGGGGAGAGCAACACTGGATGAATGACTAAACAGGCAAGAGCTACTAAGCGTGTGTCCCACTCCTAGCCATTTTCTGAGATGACTGTTAGTTGTTTGCTCCCAGCGAGAAACAGTGCTGATCGGGATATCATAAATGGCAAGTGGCCACTTCATCTTTGGAAGGACCATATACTGATACCCCCAACATTTCTGCAGGCCGGTGAGGGAGCTAAGATCGAGTCTACTGAGGTATGTAACAAGATCCTCGTGTGTTTTCTCGATTATAGCTTTGTCCTTTCCTTCTGCCCGAATCCACCTCCCTAGAAACTTGATTGGTTTCTCAGATACATTCGGGATCACCTCCCCGCTAAGCTGCAACCTCGCCTGACTACCTTCTGAACTCTCTACAACCCACTCCACTGTCACTCCCTTCTGGTAGACTAGTGCCCTAGACTTAGACGACTTAAGCTTGAACCTTGACCACACAACGAACTCCTGATAAACATCAAGCAGGGTTTGCATATCTACCATTTTAGCCGTGGTAAGGCAGCTATCATCCATAAACAGCTTAAGGGGTGGTATAGCTGTTCCATCCTTAATGTACTCGACACTCCTGGGTACCTTCATCTTCAAGTACTCGTCAGAAAGGTTCATGCATAGCACAAACAAGATCACCGAGATGACACAGCCCATAAATATTCCTATCTCGAACTGCTGCCACTCTGATGTCACTGTTTTAGAGGAGAATCTTCCGTAAACCTCCGAGAAGTATTTGATTACGATGTTGATAACTTTCTCGGGGATATGATAGAAGCGGAGTGCTTTCACAATAAGTAAATGTGGAACAGCCCCGTAAGCATTCGCCAAGTCTAACCAGACAACACTCAGATCCTTTCTCTTAACTCTAGCATCTTTGAGCACCTCCCACATAGCTCCAAAGTGCTCTGTACATCCGTGTACACCAGGAACTCCACCCTTCTGCACAGAGAGATCCACATACCCGTTAGCGACAACAAAGTTGGTTAATCTTTTCGCCAACACAGCGAGGTATATCTTCCCCTGAATGTTTCCTAGCGATATAGGCCGTCCTGTGCTGGGTCCAAAATCTCCATCCGCCTTAGGAATGTAGATCCCTTCAAAGTACCTACAGTTGTCTGGGTACTCCTCAGCCTTGTAGCCTCCTCTCAGCACATGCCACAAGTTCTGAGATATTCCTGGACACCTCTTGTACACCGTATACGGGATGCCGTTGTTACCAGGTGAACTCTTACCTCTGGCTTTCTTAACAACCTCGTCGAACTCCTTCTTGGTTATATTCCTGATGTCAAACCCCACAGTTGGGCTAGGAGCTGCCTCAGGTAACCCATTCAGAACGCCAAGAGGAACTGCCCGACTGGCATCACTATACGTATTAGACAGGTGGTTGTCTAACTCCTCCTTACTACACTTTAACTCTCCCACAGGGCTTGGTTCAAGAATACCTTTAATAGCCTTGAAAGGATCTCGAGTAAACCCACCTCTCTGTCTCCTCACTTCTCTCTGCTTCTTCCTCCTTGCCTCTGCTCTTCTCAACTTACACAGCTTCTCTGCCAGGCCTCTAAGCAAAGCATTGAAACCATCCTTTACAGACTGGGAACAAGCTTTCCTGGCTTTCCTCCTCAGCACTCTCCTCTCAATGACCAACTTATCAATCTCCTCCTGTCTCCTGTTGGCAAACCTGAGACCTTTACCTGACTCTGCACCATCAATCACGAGCCCAAACCATTTCACACCATCATCATACACCGTGTCGCAATGGCTCACCATCTTCTCCTGGAATGGCTTCCCCTTCTGCTCCTGTCTCACTCTCTTACTAACACTCACATCAAACTCTACCCACCTCTCATCCTTTGCGGCCGGCCACTTCACCTTGGGCTTCTTAGGGGCAGGTGGGTCAATAGAAGAACTCTTTGAAAGAAGGGCCTGGATATCCCTGGCACTGTGGTTATCGTCCTGGCCAGGTACCTCCACCGAACTTACAGATGCAACATCTAACGGTTGCTCCCCTTCCCAAGAGCACTTCATCCTTCCTCGATGAATGTTCCTACCCCTTTCCGTTGTAAAGCGTCGACCACACACGCAGCTAAACTCCTCTGCTACATCAGAATCAGGGGTCGAGAGTTCTCGACTGTTTGTATAAGTCCTTTTCTGATTCGTGGCAGGACGTGGTGGGTGTCCACAAAGCCTTTATTTTCACCCGGGCAACTCGTCCCTAAATAGGGACTCCCGGAACCTTAGAGAGGCAGGAGGCGCAGGACCGATGTGGACTGAGGTCTCCGCTCGTTAAAACCCCATCACACCTCTCTATTGCAGTAACCGCTGCAGGCACGGATCTCAACCCAACCCAGAAGCCAATTCCAAGCGTAGCATCTGTTCAAATCAGGTGGGCCTTACCCCACGGTAGCTGGCCAATCCCAGCAGTATCATAAAGTAGCATAGAGTAAAGATACAGTTAAACTGCGAAGGCACAACACCAAACCAACCTTACTCTATCTCCCAAAAACAACCTTCTCCTGGTCAGCCATGTCCCTCATCCTGCACTTGACCCCCGCAGAGGTCACAAGCCCATCGGAGCACAAACGAGCGAGAAACGGGGAAGCCTTAGCTACCGGGCTAAGGACTGCATCACTAGCAGCGAAATACGGATATACCCTCCCTTTTACATGCGTTCAACCGGCACCCGAACCACACGCTGTTTCTTAGACATAACTTCCCACTTACATCAGTGTCTTCTCGCATCAACTGGCATCGGCAAGTGGCGACACTGTGTAGACTCAACCCTGAGCTTGATCAGAATCTTCAGTCACAAACCTGACACCGTTTCGGGGCTTTCATTGCGATAACGGTTTTCTGTCAGGTGCCCCAGCAGTCTCTCTTGGACCACCATCTGATCTGACAATCACCCGAGGATACCTGCTAGAGCTCGCGATTTACGACGAGTTAGCTTATGGCACCTCTGGCTGTTAGGTGAAGTCATAAAGCTCAAACAGCTCTCATCTCCCACTCTCTTTTCCTAGACAGCAGATAAATCCATCTTGAACAATGGGCTGCATCCTTCCCACAATCTCTGACCAACTTCTTGAGGGCTCTCCCAGTCAGACCAATCTTCCTTGATGCACACTCCAAACTTGCTGCGACCACACCTCTAGCACCAACCTCAACAGCAAAGCTGAAACATGACCACCCATTAGCTTGTATTTCCGCTTGTAGACTGTTATACCGATCAAGCTTCAGCTCATGGGATGCAGCT